GGCACTCGAGAAGCTAGGCTGCATGTTAAGGCCGGAACCCTGGTACTCAATCCGCGACAGAAGCCACCAACGCGGAAACGCCAGACCCGAAGAAACCGGTGAAAGTAAAAGTCCGACACCCAGGTGCCAGCAAAATGCCTCAAGTCCAAGAATGCGGTGGCTCGTGCGACTTCTGACGTCGCGTGAGAGCCCAAGGGAACTGCAAGGCCGTGGCACATACGGTGTCCTTAATCTTACTAGAGCTTCAGAGGGAGTGGAGGAGTTGATCCCTATAATAATCCCTATATAACCTCAATAGTAAATTGAATACAGCGTATACTGACTCCCATAAGCACCAGTGACGCTAATGTTTAAAAGAAGGAGTCCGGCTTCGGGATACGACGCTGAGAAAACATAGAAAACAGATTCAGTGTTGAGCTTGAGGGTTTGTATGCGAACTTCTTCCTTTCTGCTTCCAGAGAGCCCATTTCTTAAACTGGCAAACCCCATATCACAATTGCGTGCAAGCACCATGGAAAGATCTAGCTGAAAGTGGACAGTGGACAGAAAAATCAAGGAGACAATCTCCAGCCTCCGGACCCCAAACCTAGTTCCGGATTCCATTGCGGTGGTCTCCTTGTGACCAAGATCCCAGACCTGCCAACACCCACAATCTGCTCAAAAACAGACTCCCAGGCACCTCTACTTCGAGTTGGGCAGCGGAGGCTTAAAGTTGCAATGCGTGGCCCTGGCTAAATTTTGACATTGCGAGCGCTGTTCAGGTTGAAGGTTGCCAGGGTTCAGTTGGGATGAAGGGCTTGGGGTCTGCGGCTCATGAGACGCCACGCCCGCATCTTTGCAAGAGCCCTTCCTTGCCAACTCAGTTGGGGCAGCCACAGGATTCCATTTTGGTGCGAGGAGTTGTGAAATGGCCCGGTGACTTGCAGCGAAAAGGTGCACGCCCGCTTACAATCACCATGCGCTATAGTCTCAGCAGGGCAATGGTAATGAGAGCGATGACGAAGTGGACGGTTGCACACTGTGGTTCGGACTGCAATCATCTAATACTCTCATTATTCTGTCGGGGCCATTATGCTGACAGCAACGGTACTTGTTCTTCCTGAGGATTGTTACGTTCGGGAGAAACCCGGGTTCAGCGTGGCCTTTGGCACACGAAGATGCGCCTGTGATTTATGCGATTGCGCTTATGACTCAACTCCGCGGGCGGGGAAGCTAACCCTTAGAAGCCGGCGAGGAGGAGACGGTCGTTGTTGGACGAAGCTTGCCCTCTTCCTGCTTAATGCAACCTACTTTGTACCAGTACCAGTCCCCCACCCTATGGAGCAGTGGGCGTCAAGGTGTTGACAAAGAGTCAAGGCTGGAGTCCACTGACTATTGTAGCCGCATTGTAGCCTTCACACTTGGGAAATCCAAAGCCATCTGCACCCGGTATACCATGCATTCCAAGGCCAAACTCCTTTCAGAATTGGTGTTCGCATTGGCGATCATTTCTCTTTAGAAGCCAGGACTTCTCTTTATAAGAAGAAGCCAGGACAATCCCTCCGCACCACTGCTAGACGTGGACCTGGAGCGCCAGTGGTGGCAAATGGGATCGGGGGGATACAAGGATGTACAAGGTTAGTTTGGGTTCCTCCTGGTTTGGGCGTACCAGGCCCGGCTGCTGCTGGGCTTGAAGGGGGATGAGGATTTCCTGTATCCATGCTGCCGTCAGCCAGCAGCCGTAAAACATATACCAGGACTGTAAGACCCAAAGATCTCTGTTTAGGCTTGGGCCTCCACAGAGCTGGAATGAGTCGTGGACCTCGAAGGCCACATCAACCCAAAAGCGTCTCTTTCCTGAAATCCTCGGTGCTGCACCCTGAGACTCCCAAACCTGTGCAACTTCCTGCAGGATAGTGTGCCTCTGGCATTGAAACGGGTACCTAGAAACAAAGAACTCTTGGCTTAAATGCAAGTACGCTATGATGTGTTGAGACGATAAACGCCAAACCTCATAAACCTCAGATCACACGCGGGGGAGCTTCCTTCAGAGGACTGGGAAATGCATGGCGCTGTCCTTACAATCTTCAGCCGCTCCTAGGCAGCAAAAGTGGTTTTGCGTTCACGTGGGGGCTATTTCGAGTTTGTATGGTTGGAGCTTGCATGAGGGTTCAGGGTAGAAGGGCCGAGTGATCTCATGGCATTTTGTACGGCTCATTCCGATTCCAGAGGCCAAATTCCTTGACCCTACTCCTGGCACACTTCTCGGAGATTCCACAGCAAAAGCAACGAACCCGCAAACTTTCAGACCAGGCTACTGGATTGCGGACAAGACCGGCTGGGGACAGGGCCCTAGCGACGTTTAGGGCTTGAGAGCTTTATAGCGGTTTGAAAGGGTAAGTCATATGGCGTCCGAATTCATCATGACATTAGTTATGAGTTTTTCTACTAAAGCGGACCCCAACACCCAAGGGACTAGGTAACACTACAGCTTTGAAGGGGTGGCCTAAGCAGTGGGGCTAGGGCCGCAGATTAGGGGGTCTATTCGAATCTGCTCCGTTTGCCAGATCCAAGTTGTGGGCTTGGCATCAACTACTTCTAGGTTTCGTGCACGAAAATGAACAGTTGCTTGATGATTTCCCTTGTCCTGTTCTCTCCTCCAGGTCTACTGACTAGGGAGTCTTTAGGGAGCAAAGGCACGATGCAAATGAAGGACCGATTTCCTGCAAAGTAAGCATCTTTCGATGAGATGCCTCGGATTAGTTGGATGGCTCGATTCCGCATACGCAAACCCAAAGAGGATGTTAAGTCGAAAGCCGAGGGAAGACCCAATGCTACTATGACGGGAGGCGGAGGGTAAGGCTGGTAGTATCTTCACTGATGGCGCTTGATTGCTTGCACGGTTACATTAGCCTGGTTGTGTTGCCAATGATTCCCACTGATACAATATGCTCGAACTGTCTCCTCCCTGAAAGCTTGCTGCTACTGGTGATGGTGATGGTGATGATGATGATGTTCTCTTGTAGCTTCGTTTCTGGCAACTGGCTGCGTTGAGTTGGGATTGAAATCTGACAACGAATCCTCAAACGCTTGTGGAGTCAAAGAAGCTTCTAACTTCTAACCATTGTTGAAAAGCTACCTGTGCTCAGCGCGGGAGGATACCTTGGACTGCTTGAGTTGTACCAGTGAACCCTTGAATTTTTTTCGGTGTCCTCAGATCCCAGTGGAGATAAAGGCAATACTATGCTGTATTCAGAGAGGCTCCGGCAGTGGTGACGTGACCTCGCACCATCTCGCACCCATGATGCCCTGAAGCTTTTGAGTTGGTCGGGTACGGCTTGCATGGAGCAAAGCAGATCAGTGCAACGGCACCGACCGAACAGCTTAAACCTTTTCCATCTCAGGCTCTAAAACTTCAAAGGTTGCACTAACGCCTACTTCTACCACGATCTGATCCAGGCCTGGACCTTGCATCAGGCGCTAAGGTCGCCGGCGAGCTTGAAGGCACAGAACAGGCTTGGGGCACGGCTTGTGGTTTAGAGGTTTGGGGCCATCCAAGCACAAAATCTCATAACAGAGATGCAGACAATGCCGCACCCCATGTTTTGGCTTTATGCAAAGACATCAGTAAAGGAAGGCTCATACCTTCTCCTAGTCCTAGTACTCCTTCCGGTTCCTCTCAAGTCCTGCGTCCATGAGGTTAACCTCTAGTGCAGAGTTCATGCCTTAGTTGTATGATCCATGTACCTCGAAAACGCATGGCGGCTTGGGACTTGAGACTACCTGTTGTTTGCACGACGTCAATGAGCACTCATTAAGCAGATTGTCATTTAGGGGTCTCACAGCTTGAGCACAGGCCCCAAGTCAGCAGCATGGTCTAGTGACATCCGGCTATTGAACGCTTTAGCAGGATTGACCCAGCACTATGGCATTGCCGCTGCTTTAAGTCTACTTCTTAGTTAGGGATTGGGTTCAGGTGGGCTATAGTCTAAACTGCGTAGAGGGCGCTATATAGGGGAGTATTATAGGGGTTATTCAGTGGGATATTTGGAGTTTAGATTATGGCTCATGTGAACTAAGGGTAGTCAGGCCCTCAAGGTTCAGAACCAACTCTGAAACAGTACAGTAGCTGGGTCGTTTCGGGTCCTGTTTGTTACGCATCCTGTTAAGGTTCTGCTAAGGCATTCAGGGCTCATTTAGGGACTGTGTCAATCGGTCAGCGTGTAGAAACGGAACAGAGAGGCAGATAACGACGCCACCAGCCTGTATGACTTAGATTCTTAGATCCAGAAGAGAGACATGAAATGCGAGTTGAAGGATGCAGATAGCATCAGCCGAACTGCCTTGGCCCTTGAACAGACTCAAATCTTTGAACCCTGTGCGTATATGGACATGTCAGATAGCTAAATAGCTAAATACAACAATCCATATATGCATATGTTTAATGTTTGAACCCTCGTTCTCCCACACCGCTGGACCCTTCCTGGCAAATCCTCTGACACGACGAAGCTTCCTCCCGCGCAGCCATCTTATCGGCTCGGCGCTGGGAGCCTTTCAACCAAACCGGGATGGGCTGGTAGTGCCGAACATCGCAGCCCCCCGGCCTGCAGCGAGTGTTACCAAAAGGGACGGTCTCAAAGGGTTTGCACGTCACGTGTTCACTGGCCTTTCCGAGATGAGGAATTTGCAGGCTTAGCCTTGAGGAACAATGACAGGAACCTTGGAGCTGCTTATGGCTCTATCGGAAAGTCTAAAGATTCTGCTGCTTGTGTTTGGCATTAGCATTGCAAGGTGTGACCAGGTCTTATAAGAATGTTGGGAGGCATTCAAAGGTCTTCAGAGAGACTAGATGGCCGGGAGTCGCAAAGGCTCCTTGCAAAGTTCTTGCTTGCTTGACTTTACCTTCCAATCTCCGAACTTAAAACACACTGCAAAACTCCAATAAGTTGAAAAGGTTTTCAGGCTGGCCGAGGCCTTCAGAGCTTTCAAAGCCCATGAACACCTCCCCCGCAAAGGCGCGGATGGCGGTCTCCGTGGATCCGCCGCCGGAGCTGCCCCTGGGGGATGTGGAGACCTTGGTGGTCTCCTGCAACAAGGACGCTCTGGGGAGCTTTTTGAATGGCTCAAGAGAGCTCCTAGGAGCGGGCTTCAGAAACCGGCAAATAATTGGCACCTGCCATTGATCAACTGTAGATGTATGCCAGTTAGGACCAAATTGGCATTAAACCCGTCCCTGCCCAAAAGCTCTCCTAGGCGCTCCCCATGTCATCTTCACAAGTTCCCAGAAGACCGATTGGAAGGCTGTTTTCGGGCAACTTTCGGGATCCCGAGGCCTCCTTCTCGGCGCGATGAGGGGCTAGCTGCCCACTAGCCTTCCTTTTTGAAGAAAACGAATGATGATGGCAGTCTCACGGGTTATTATGCTGATGAGCATGACAACGTTACTGATGAAGTTCTGTCGTGGTACTTAACATGATACTTGGCCTGCCAAGATAGCCGCATCAAAAAATGCCGGCCTACTCCTTATACCAGGATGGCATGGATCGGCTGCGGCAAGGGGACATCAAGGCTGCCTTCGAACAGTTTAAGTCCCAGGGCAGCAGTCCATGTATTTTTGCTTTTTCAGTTCTGATTATGGTTTGGCAGGTGCTTGGTAATTCCTCTGCAGTCTTCCTCAGGGTGTTACATCAGTCCTCGGTAGTCTTGGCACTCTCCGAAAACTTGCGCGTGCTTTTTATCGTCCTTGTTGCATGGCATGCGTAATGTCATGGGTCAAGGCTGTCAAGAGGGCTTAAGCGCCAGAGAGCTCTGCAAAAGGGCGTTCACGACTATACGTGTGAAAAAGGGTTGCCCTGAGGCCTGCACAAGGATGACAATCAGTGTTGAACGTCTCATTCTAAGGTATGCCGAGGCTATCCTGCTGGCAAACCAAATGGAAGGCTGGGTGGGGCCTACCTCGGCTTCTGAAGCCCTGACAGTCAGGCCTTACTTAACCCACCAAAGGGCAATCCTGGCACAGAGGACATTTAGCACCATGCTACAGCTGATGTCTTTTGCGTCTACGCTGGGAGCAATCAAGACATCAGGCTACGACATTTGAACTACCCAACCCCATCTCAGTGACAATGCGTGGCTTCTGGCTTTGCAGTGGGTGAGCTGGCCATTGAGTGAGCAGCGGAGCCCGTAAGCAGAATCTCAAATCCCAAGCTCGGATCCCGATACTTTACATTTGAGAACCTGATGCTGAAGTCCCAGACCCCAAGTGCTTCCAGCAGGGCAGTATTGCATGATCAAGGTGATTGATTGTAGGCTTTATGGATGAGGTTTCCACAGTCTTCTTGCCCTGCATGCAGCATATTCGCCCATACCTCGAAAGGGCTTCGGAGGAAAGTTGCGATAGGGACTGGCTCGATGGCTAACTAACATCAGAGGTCCTGTTAGCGATCGCAGGCGATAGCACGGCCCTGCTTGCCACTACCTGCAACAACCTTGGCTGCTATTACAAAAAGGCGCGTTTGGTTTACTCTTCCTGGAGCTCAAGGGAGACTGAGCGGGACAGCGTAGGGATTTCGGGATTCGAGGTGTAGGCTTTCGTTGAGTGATACTGTTCACGCAAACTGCCAGCATCTCCACTGCGCTCTGCCAGGCAAGGGCTAAGGCGGCAATTGTTTGACGAGAACTCAAAGAGCAGGAACCTTACATGCAACGGCGAGAAAGGTGTCCATAGTTGATAGACCTGCGTACGCATTGCATTCATCCCTGCGTGGAGTTCAGCAGCATCTTGGCTGGCCGCCCCACAATTGCAATAACAAGCACAGTACAAAAGTTGCAAGTACTTCAGCAGGAGTTCGTCATAATCATGATCGGGGGGTGCGTGATGTTGGGGAGGGAGGGATGTGCGCGGCAAGCTCCCCAGCCAAAGTTGGTAGCGTTCGGAGTTTGAGTTTGAGACTAAGTAGCGTTTAGCTGTGCCTGTGGCGCTTTGTAGTAGGTTTCAATTTTACCTGCAGGAAGTAACATGCGCAGAACCAGAGCATCATCACTCAAGTCGGGCCAAACGCAGTGCTGAGCCCCCTGAGACCTGCACCTAAACCTCCAACCTGCAACCTCAAATTTCACAAGTCCTGAAATCTCATTCCTGGAGGTAGGCAAGTTTCATGGCGCCTTGGGCTACCTCAGGCGAGCACTGAAGACCTTTGGCGTCATTGCTTGGGGGTGCTGTTCAAGGCTGATGGAGGTTGGGGTCCACGGAAGGCCTGTAGTCTGGGACTTTGGAACATCCAGCTTTAGGATGACTCTGGAAAGCAAGGCATGCAGTAAGAGGATCCTCATTTCACGCTGCTCCTGTGCCCACTAAGAATGCAAGGTTAAAGTGGCCATTTCTGATAGGGATGGCAGGACGGCCAGGAGTGCAGGCAGCACCTAACAGACCTAACGTACAAACTAGACTGACTATACTCTATACACCAAGAACTGCACATTCCATCGCAACCAGCCAGTGCCAGTGCTCCCTCTGAAGCCCAAAGCTTCACGAATTCTACGGGGCGCGAGAGTCTAGCATCCGTTAACCATTGTCATTCTAAGCCTTCAGCCTAAAAGCCTTGACGTTCAGGCAAGGATAGTGCTTCCTGGTTCTTTGTCGGCTTTCGCAGCAACTACTGCAGAAATGCCCTCGGGAATCACCCTTGTGACAAAGTCACGGGAAGTCAGGGCTTTGGGAACATCATTGCCTCCAGAATCTGAATGTCAAGAAGCCAAAACCAAACACGCAGAAAGCGGGCGAGAACCGGGGCAGGGTGGGCAGGACAGCACGCGAACCAAGATCCCAGTTCCGGAAAATGCAGAGGCCAGAAGCCTAAAGCCTGAAGCCTATGGCCCGGACCCTCCATTGCAGATCTCCACGCTGAAATGCCCCAACTACTACAATACCAAGCCTGCAACCCTTACTGCCAAGGCTTGAAGTGGAGCTCAAAGCCGACGAGGTGGGCTTCACAATTCCAATTTCATCCAACAATTGGGATTACAGTTAGCATGTAGGGGTTTACATTGGGGTCCCCCTACGGAAACTACCAGGTATGAAGAAGCCAAACAGGAGCAATTATGATTCCATCTTCTGTAGCCTGTAGGCCCCTCCAGGTCCAGATCTTGCTGGCAGTGAGGTCTCGGGTTTGGTCTTGGCGTGTTTTAGGTTTGGAGAGTAGAGCTTCAGCTTGCTTAAGCACTTAGCTTTGCTTTGGCCTACCTTAGCTACCGAAACACATGTATGCCAGGTTGCCTCCTTCTTATGTAGCGTTGATCCAACAATCTCATACTGTACTCGTGCTTAATTACTACAATCCCTTCCCTACGCATGTGAATTCAAGGACAAGAATGGCTCGTTTATCCAAAATGAAGATTGAAAATGTAGAAGCCAGAAAACTTGCTGAAGTTTTTCACGAACGGTCCGTATGTACACAAGCCATGGCCGTATAGTGTAGCCCACAGCTTCATGCTCCTTAGACAGGCCCGTGGAGTACGCACTTGGGAACCGAGATCCAACTGTCCACCCAGACCTTCCAAATCCTGAAGCCTTAACGTTTCTCATTGAAACTTTAGTGGCTTTCGCGTTAAGTTTGCAAGGTTGTTGCATTTTCGGCGCATAGCCAGGCCTTGAATCAGAGTTTCAACTGCTAGTACCATTTTCTGGTAAAGCCCCAGTGTCTTCTCGCCTTTACATTACGACGCAAAAAGATTTTTTCAGGGAATAGTACTGGGCCTGGAGTCCTGGCACCAACTAGACACTGTGTCCCAGCCAAACGTAGTAAACGGCAGTCAGTCCACGCGCAGGACTCCTAGACCTCGAGGCCCCAGCCCCACCCTGAATATACAGTTCGAAGGTGACACTGGCGGGCACCCATCTCAATCTTTGCACAGTGCTCTCCAAGCTGGAGAAGCACGACAAGGTCTCAGCATTTTGGAGCGGTCAAGAGGTTTTATGTGTTTTTGGGCCTTTGGGCTGCCACTCCAAGCAAAAACGTACATGTTTCAAGGCCTGTGGAAGCAATGTGTTCAGAAAACCTGGCTGAGTGTGTAACAGACATGCATGATCATCTAGTCACATGAGAATGCGGAGCCTGATGCTTCGACAGGTAATTCCAAGCTGAGACCTGCAAAAGCCACCACTTCTAACGATACTACCCTCCTCGGCGACTTAGAATGTGAAGCCGCCGCCAAACAGAAGAAATCTGGAAGTAAACCTTGCTTGGTTGGACTGCTTGGTAAGTTGAGCTGCCGAAGCTGACACGAAACAAAGACTTCGTAACCTTTCTAGCCACCAAAATTCTGAAGGCTTCTGGTAAGCTCAGTCTAGATCTTGCCCCAGAACCACGGATTTCAAACCCTACTTCCGAATTATGTAAATTGAAAGTCTGAACCTCCTCCTGCAACAGCGGGCAGTGATTTTTTAGATGTGTACGGATTGTGATGGAAGTAAGTGATCCTGCAAGAGTGCTTGCGTAGCCTCTGGCGTGCAGGGAGTCGTCTTGTGTAGTCTCGCGCGGACACGTGTAGGTTGTTGTATACACGTAGTCTGTGTAGTCTATGCAGTCTGTAGGTTTTATGAGGTAAGCATTACAAATCCTGCACAGAACTCTGAATATAAGCTAGGGATGCCGCCTAGTCAGCGTAGGTCATTGGAGAGTAAGAGTGTCCTCGCGTAGCCAGCGTAACCTGTTTCTGCAGAAAAGAAAAGAATTCCGCATAGTTCGCGCAGGACTTCTATGTAAGGACAGGAACTTCAACATAAATAGAAGGCAATGCTCAACTGACATACTTGAGCCTTGAGATGCTGGAGCCCTAAGAGATGCCTCAAAGCTGGAGGCGCTGCAGCATTCTCTAGTTGCTCTGGATATGCTGAGCCTCCTCGACTTGGTATTCGTCTTGTTCTTTGTTACTGTGGGTTGACAAAGAAATGTAAGAGGATCTCTTGAAGACTGGGTAGTGGTGTTGTGGGCTCCTTGTAGACTTTGCGTCAGCGAGCTTATGACTAGTCGCAAAGGCTGCGCTCAAGGGGCGCAGCCTCCTGCCAGCGCATCTTATAAGGTTGGGATTTTCTGTCTAGGGCAGCGGAATGAGTTGGACTATGGAGAGTTTTTGGTCTGGGAGACGGTTGACCCGAAATCGTAGCCTCAACAGATTTGGAGCTTCCTTCAAGAATCAAACCATGTAAGCATAGTCAGCTATAAGTTATGTACGGCCAGAGGTGCCATGTTGTGATTCTGTTTGGCTCTTGACAGCTTAGCAGAAACTTCGCACAGACCTCAAAAACATCAACCTTGTGTTTCTTGGAGCTAACTAGATGCAACTCTGCATACTCTCGCTCGGCTCCGTGATCATCATAGCATGTTCTTAGCCGCACTGCGCCAAAAATGCCTAGGAAGCATCAAGCCCCCAGGCTTGAGCCTTCAGAGTTTGAGGTTTGGAGCTCACATTTGAGGCTCATAGCGTTTAGATCTTCGTGTATTTGGGAGTCAGGTCTAATCCAGCAACCTGGAGTTCTTTGTCAGTTTTGAAAATTGCTGTCGGGCAGCTGTTGTCTCGTCTGAGCGACTTGCCAAACCAAGGTTCTAGTTGACCCCTCCATCATTGGGTCCTCTAGGTCCTCAAGTATGTAGGTTTCCTAGATTAGCCTACTGAGGAACAAGAAGATCGAGACTGTGGACACTCAGGCAGGGTCAGCAGCTTCGTGTTTCAAGTGGTTGTGGATGGCTTGCAAGGCTTGCATGCGTGGTGATCATGAGGGTTGTCATGGTCGGCATCACCGTTAGTCTTCGGGGTGATTAACATTAGCATTTTCAATGAGGACCTCCTTCAGAATGCAATCAGTATCGGAGCCATGGGAAAGACCATGAAAGGGCGCAACTGGAGTCTAATTGCAACATGTCTCAGAGGACGATCTGCAAGGGCAGATGGCGAGGCCTAAGCCCCAGCCCACAAACCCACTTGGAATGAATGTCAGAATTTTGTGGTAGAAGCTCTGTCGCAGAAACCCTTCCGGCCTAAATTTCGCCTCAAAGGCAGGCTACACAAGAAGCAACTGCATCGGTTTTGTGTTGACTTTGCAGGGCTGATGGCCCATCAGCTGGCTACATCCTAAAACAACAACTTTAAGTATGACTTGAATTACTTGCCGAAATCGCAGCTAGCTGAGTACAGGGTATGGGGGCCGCGTTTGACAGCCAGTCCTAGAAAGACTTGACAAGGACGGCAGTGGTTTGCTCTGCCTGGTGGAGATGATCCAGCATGACCTCGCAGAAACAAAACATGACAAAACTAAATCAAGAACATCCCAGCCTTATCTGGGAGGTGCTTTTGGAAAAGATTGTGCTGATGTGGCAAGTCTTACTAAATATTGTAACAAGGAAGATACCAAGCATGATTGCAGGCAAGCGAAGACGATTACACGATCCTCTCCATTGCTTACCACAACGTCGGCCTTGAGCGTGAGCACATGCAACAGTGGGACCAGGCCGCGGGAGAGAGGGTCACCTGAAGAACGCTAAGTTGCCTTTAGATGTGAAGCTTCTTTGCACACCATTTTGCGAGGCAAGCCTCAAGTAGATCTTCCGCAGAGCATGTTGTTTCAGCTTACGACCCGCGATGTTTCAGCAAGCTTGTAGACAAGTATTTCACCTGAACCCGAAGCTCCAAAACCTAATTAAGCGCCTCAACTTGATTCGGGGACGCCGCAATTCGAGTCCCACTCGCGCACATGACCTGGGTTGGCAGGCCCCCTGTTCCCAAAGCGCTGACACACTAAACTCCAGGGAAACCTGAACAATGACAGCAATAATCATACACATGATCCCGATTTGCTGCGGTAGTTGCAAAGAGTTTGGGTTTCTGAGCAGGCGACCATCGCCTTCCGAACTGGATATGAAGTCGCCAAGCGATTCCTAGGCGTGCAGGGTTTGGAGCAGACTGTTGGTTGTGGGGCTGAGAGTCCAGGTTTTCGCCTTCGGGCCTCCTAGTTCTGAGGATGCTGGACAATTCTAGAGTTGCACCCTTACGACAACTTTGCTCACTTGCAGCCTGAGAGGTCCAAGGTGGAGTCCTCTCTTGTGGCGTTACACTTACAATCTAGGTTCAACAACGGCTTTACAAACTCCTGGAAACTGCGCGTTGTTTGATCGTCCGCCCCAGGAGAAAGCCATGCTCTCACTGTGACGCTGCTGAACAACTCCAACGCCGTCCTGAAGAAGTCAAAGGAGCTGACTCGGGTTCCAAGCCGCCGGGATAATGCGGATTCTGAGGGCTGCCTTGGACGCACAAATCGGGGCTGTGCGGTGAGTGCATGGGTTAAGGGGAGTTTGGGGATTCGAGATGTAGAGGAGCTAAATACATGTGTGCGTCAGAATTTCCTGCAAGAGCGCTGTGTTCAGAATACTCCCTTCAACGCACCGCCCGCCTCCGTCCTATGCTGAAGCAGTTGAGAAGGCAGTGGCGGCTGTAGCTCGCGATCTTGCGGATTTGGCACATGTTTGTGATGTGGAAAGCATGTGCCTCCCTTTGCTCCAAATGGTTGCCTGTAAGTCTGATAGTGCCGGGACCACAGGACCCCTGACCCCAACAACACATCCCAGGCCCAGCACCCAAAACTCCAACCTTCATGAGCATTAAGCTTCCCGACAGAATCCAGACCACCTCAAGCCCTGAGCCCAAAACTCTTTTAACTTCGAACTTCTCAAGAAGAGACATCATCAGGACCTACAGGAGCAGCCTGGATGCACGGGACCCAAGGCCCGCAGCTTCCAGCAGGCGCCAGACTAGGGATTTAGAGGCTGAGGGCCTGAGGATGGCGCAAGAGTTCCATTTGGAAGGGTTTACCACCACAACTTTTCCAGCAACGCCGCGAGTACCATTCTAGGAGTACGTACCACTGCCTCTAGACCCTCTCAGTCGACCACATCTCCTGTACTCCTGACTCCCGTTGCGGGTGCAGCGGCTGTCACGGCTTTAACGACTTCAGCTGCGTTTACTGCTTTAAAGTTCTGCACACTCACTTGCTGGTCAGGCGCCGGAGAGCCCCAGCGCCGTCGAGGAGAAGCCAGCCGCTCGTCCAACGGCAATTCCTCATGTTCATGTGGCTGCTAATGCTCAAAGCAGAATCCCAGGTATGCAAGGAATGTGTCGGGTTGCGGGTCTACGCTCAGAGGATGGCCATCAGATTCGGAATCAGAGCCTCAAAGCGCAAGAGAAAAGCTTGAACAACTTCAAGCTACATTGTTTCTGTGAGACCGCCACTCCAAGGGCACAGGATTCATCCTTAAATGGTTATCTTGTTTGAGCGCAGCGGAGTGCGCTCTAAAAAGTCCAATGTTCGCACCCCTTTAACCGCAAGCTTTTCTCCACTTAGCTTGAACCCTTTTAGCGAAGCTGCTTTCTACAGAGTTGCGTATGCTGCAAGGACACTGGCTGGTGCACGGTCCTTCTAATACCTGTGACTAAGCTCTAGCTTCGGTTCATATCAACGCAGGCCCTTGTGCTGGACCTAGACCCTCCTGAGAAATCTATGGTCAGGACAGCAGCAGCAATCCAAACATCCTTGGTCAGAATTAGGGGCGGAGGGTTTCGATCAGGACCTCTAAGCTCCTCCTACACAATCCTCCCTCCCAAGCGTCAAATGCATTGAGGCTGAGGGTACGCTTGGTACGGTCACGCTGCCTCCACTTGTTCCCAAGGAGAAGGACCACAGCCGTGAAGCAGAAGACACGACTTTCGAGCAAGAAAATCATGCTGTACGATGTTAAACGTAGTTATGAGGCAGTCAGGTCTAGTCACAATTTCATAGCCACATTGGTGCTGGGCAAAGCACTACATGGTGCTGAGCCTTTGCAGCCTTAGGGTTCATTAGCAGGATATGAAGTCAAGGGCTTAGAGGTATAGCAGCAGAAGCAGTGCCTGCATGCAAATTGGGCCTCAAGGTCTTGGCTTGCAACCACTTCACATGCTGGGGACATCCAACTCCGAAAGACAGGGCCCCAGAACCCTGTGCCTCGCAGGTTGAGAACCTAAGGCTAAAAGCATGCTAAAGCAAGCCAAGCCCCAATTCTGAATCATCGAGCTCTGCTCTAGATTTCAGCCACAAGCCTCAATTTCAGCGCCTTCGAGTGCCGGTTACATTGATCGTCCCATGCAGAACAGAGGCCAAAAGTCCAGGGCGTGCATGGGAGTTTACTCAAATCATGTCTCATTCGCTTTAGATGCTTCATCCTCACGTAACCGTGCAATCATCTGTTTTGAGAAACTAGCGAACTCTACGGCCTTCATGGTACCTTTATTAAGTAAGTAGTTGTACTTCATCCCCTGATTCGCTTCAAGCCTTCGGAGGAGGGCTCCAAAGCGCCCTCCAAGCGTGCCACTGCGGATGCTGCCGACTTCCTCAGGAATGAGGACTTTTAGCCTGCAGTAAATGAGTGGTAGTCATCACAGCACTCGTAGGAATATTAACAGTGATAGTAACTTGTCATGTCACTTGTTAAAGCGTTGGCCTGTCTATGCCATAAGCTGCAGTTGCCCTGACCTGAGTGCAAAGGCCATGCTCGTGCTGCAGGCCTAAGAAAGCTGAAGTCCTTACATAAGCCAAGTTGAGACATTTGAGACATTCTGTTGTCGCGGCCGAGCTGTGGAAGGCTGTGGGACAACAGGGTGCCTTCATGAACATAGGACGATGCGGGACCATAAGCCACTGCAAGGTACCGAGTCAAACTACACCCCAGAGTTGACATGGGCTCATGACTTTCGTATGGTGCTATCTAAGGAGATGCTGTGGGCAAATTTCGCGGCCAAGACGCTCCATAGTGCCTTCGCCTGGTCTTGACTTGAGAGCTGGCAATGGTTTGAATGCTTGCATGGGCCAGGGGCAGTGATGTACTACGACTTACAGAGCGCTTTGACCACGAAGTGCAGAGGGTGGCGTTGATGTTGAAGCTGCTTCTCCACAGAGAGAATATACAAAGGACACCTGGTTCTAGATGTGGTGCGTGAAAAACTGTCAAACCACAGCCAAAATCTGAGAGGCCTTAGGAGTCAAAAGATGTCCCTTAAGCTCAGGTACTGGGCCCGCCATCGAAGATGACTTGCCCAAGGAGGGTGCTGAGGAGGAGGTGTCTTCTCGTGCTAAGGGCCTGGGGAGGTTTTCTCATTTTGCAAAGCCCCTTTAGAAACTCTTTCGGATCATCTCTAGGTGCGATGGTTTGGAGTTTTGGGCATTGGTAGAGCTCTCAGGCATAGAGCAGCTCGGCTTACTTTCCCGAAATCACAAGATGTTCAAAGCAAAAAGCCTGTCTCTCTCTTGCCATGAATGTGAGGTTGAGGTCATATGGGAGGGTTCGCCATTATGTTGAATCAGAAATAGCTACGAGTGCGAGCCTATGAGTTTGAACTTTCATATAGGTCACGGGTTGAGGTCTTCACAGTGCAAGTCATGGACCGGTCGACGTCCTGCAAGCCCAGCACCTGGGAAAAGCGGCAAAAGGGGGAGCCTCAACGATGAGCAGCGCTCGTTGAGCTTGCAAGGCCTTTTCTCAAACCTGCGTCCCAATTGCACATTCGTCGGACGGCTACGCTGGACTCTCACAGCATCAAATTCAGGGTCTGCGGCTGGGGTTCCTTCCGCGCAGGTAAGGATTGTACTGCTTTGTTCCATGCACCTGTGTTGAGTTTGAAACAGACGGGCGCGATCAGAGCTTATATTTTCTGATCACAAGGGAAAGGAAGATGCTTTGAATAGAGCCAAGATCAGAATTCAATTTCCTTGAATCCCAGACCCTCCGCAGACATTGGCCTGGCACCCTACCGCCGCACCTTGCGCACACCACCGCTCAGGATCCGCTGGACAACGATGACGCAATGGCTCGTCACCCCTTGAATAAGGCACGGAGGGAGCAAAAAGTTGTGGTGATGGAGAAAATGCTGGAAGTCCCAGCACCAACAAAACAGGCATCCTTGTACTGTGAGCACTTCCAGTCTCCCCAAAAAATCTGCCTGCTCTTGAAGCGTCTAGGAAAGGAGTTCACAATGAACATTCAGATTGCGGAAGTGATCAGACTTGTGAGCTTCCATGTTGATGTGCCTGCAAGCAGGAGGGAGCAGCCTTTACTAAACCCAGAAGCTTCAACCCTGAACGCCAAACTCTCATACCTTGCAGGCGGCTCTCGTGTCCATGCAGGACCTAGGCTGCTGGTCAGAGCAGGGGATGTAGGGTTTAGATTCGGACACTCGTCTCACAGCATCGCACACAGTCTTCGTGGGGTGCCTGGTGCCATGAGTTTAAGGATGCCCACATGAAGGAAGTATCTTTCAAAGGGAAAGGCATGGTTTCGATTCCTGTGACAAGCAGGTAGATGATGTCCTGACCTTATCCCGAGCATGCTAGGTGTTGTCATCACATTTCCTTGAGTTTGATTGAGAAATAAACCGCGCTTTGTCTTGAGCTTACACTCACTCATCAAAGACTTGACGTGTAAACAACTAGTCGGGATTTTTTTAGTCTTTATCCTCGAAAACCACTATTTATCATCTGCTTCTTTGCCGAGCTTAAAAGGTAATCAAAACGCGGGCATCCCGAAGGCCCTGAAGAGACCCTGAATTGACACCATAGACTCCTTCATTAGTTTAATCTTGGGGTCTCGAGTAACGAAGCGGGCTAAGCAGGCTTTATGAGAGAGTGCTGTCAGTCCTTGTACCTTGAATTCCACATACGGAGCTCCAGACTCAGTGACGCGTCGTAATCCACGCTCCAAAGTCTTTGCACAAGGCTATGCCTTTCTTTGATTTCACCTCTGTATCCTAGCCCTCAAGCTTTTCTGAGGCCTCATCCTGCCGACAGCTTATGACCAGGGCCTCTTCCGCTTTCAGGACTCGCGTGCTAAGCCACGGAATATGTACGTGTATAGATGATGTATGTTTGTTTATTATGTATGTACTTCGGGATATAGAAGTTGTTTGGCAGCAGTGAGAATTGAGGTCACCATATGTTTTCGGAACTTTGGTTTTGAATAGGGGCTCCGCATTTAACAGGTCGATGTACAGCGCAGGATGCACAACCACTGCCACTGTTTAGTTTGATTTGGCACTGGCTGGATTTGAGTCAGGTGCGCGAATCCATACAGCATCAGCTTTGCCAAGCGGAGTGTAGCGAGCTTAACGATTAAGATTTGCAATGTGCAGTGCTGATAGGGATTTAAGTGAATGGTTCTTGACTCATGATGCGTTGCTCGCATGATGCATCGTTTTGTGGTGGCAGTTCACAAGATCCATTCGGAACATAACAGAGAAGTTTCTTACGGAGTGGGCCTGCGCCCAAGCTCTGAATAGTCTTCGCGCCCAGGTGATCTCCCAACACCCCAGAGCGAGCCCCTGTAATGCTTCCGAAGTGCTGAGCTTCCAATTGTTACGGTTCGGCCGCGCATAAGAAACCGTCCCAGTCTTCCACAAGCATTCTGCAGCGTTACGCCTGAAAGCATTCTCTCAACCCACTGTCTTTGCAATGCCCCGTTTTCAAGACAGCCAAGCAGGAGAATCGAGGAATGAATACGAACCACAACGTCCTCGCAAAGGCTGCAGTACGATCTGAGCTTGGCTGATACGGGGAGAACTTTCTGAACTGTTTATGTCCAGTCGCAGAGATTGCGAACGGCTGAAGCATAGTCATGAACATCATCAAGCCACACGCCTACCCAACCTGAATTTCAGACATGACAGGCTGCCCGCCAAATACTGCAACATACTGCAACTCTGGACGTTGATCCCGTGTATTCTGGAATATTATCTGGGTCATCTGATGCATTTGCCAGTGTCTGAACTTGGTTGGGTCTCAGCTCGAGGGGCGTGGATGAACTAAACTCTGGGGTCAAACGGCCATCAAGCATCCTTCAAGCAATATCCTCGCTAAGGCTTGTAAGCAGCTTTTCCTACCCCAACTGTTTGTTTTGCGGCGTGCTAGGCCGGTAGGTGCCAGGCAATGTGTTGTTCAAGCTTCTGCCCAAGAGCAGTTTTGGACTCGAGTGCTCAAGTGCTCTTGTCATATTGAAACGTTGACAGGTCTCTGCCAAAGTTTTGCAGTAGGCAGATACATGCTGAAGCAGGCGATGAACGATCATCCTAAAGCCTTGATGGACATCATCGATGCCGAGGTGGACTCTTGTCCTTAAGGGCTTCCATTCTACAAATCTAATGTCTGGGACATGTGGACTCCACTGGGCACCCCATCCCAGATTTCCTCAGTGGTCCCTCATATCTCACATTTTGGTGCATCCCGGAAACATTCATGTTCGACCTCAAACCCTGAGCATCATAGCCCTCGAATGGGAAGTTCCCCGGAAAAAAGGCTTTTGCGATCCTGAATGGGAATTCTTTCAGTTCTCATCCCTTTTTGAGAAACCTAAAGAACCTCCAAGGACTGCGAGCCATCGATGTCTGCACCTAACGACTTCCGTCCAAATCGCTCCATGAAGCGATCAACGCGCACTGCTAAGGTTGGTAAGCTCCGGTGGGGTAGCAGGGGCGATAGCGGGGATTACACTGGGGTTCTTACGATAATGTTCTTGAGCAGCAGAACAAGCAGGAGTAGGAGTAAAGACAGCCACTGAGGTCAGTGGCACTTCCAGATCCTTAGCCAGTACTTTCTTGCCATTCTCAGTAGTACTGGTGCTGATAGTCATCTGATGGCAGTCCGCGGTCTCTGCAGCATTGCATGGCTTTTGGTGGTCCGTGTAGTGATTGATAATCCTTCAGGCGCTTCAGCATGCTTCACGGGGCTTACGGAGAGAGTTACACCACCAATGTTTTGGACTGGGTGGCATAAAAGTGGCCGGGTGTTGAGACACAGCCGCCTAAGTTCACTGCCTTTTAGAAACTTGGAACTGCAAGGCGCCAGGCCCCACGAGTCTGGACAAGCATCTAGTGTCAGGGTACAGTTTACAGTTATTTACACAAAGAGGCGGATAGAGCAAGCACGATATTTCGGCAGTGCAGAGAGCTTTGAAGAACTTGAAGGTTCTATCCATCCGAAGAAGAGCATATTCATCCCTCTGGTAGGCACAAAAACCTGCAGGTCGTGAGGAGAACGGGTGTGTTCAACTCTACGACCTTCCGCGACAAGGCCATTTTCAGGGTCCTCGATGCTCAGTTGGTCTCAGGGATTGAGGGGTTCTAAAGGTTTGCAGGTTATAAGTTCTGGAGTTAGGGGTTTGCAGCTTATTGCATAAGGTCAACTCGAGCATTATGGATAGGAACCCTTTTTTTTCGGGGAGCCTAAAGCTACTATTTCCCTAGCTGTTCCTCCTGCTTGTAGTGCTCTTATTGCAAATACCGCAGCCCCAGCTGCCTCTGCTGTTGCTGCGCCTTGTCCTCCTCTAATCTCCTCCTACCCCTCCTCTAGGCTCTAGATAGACTCGCGACGAAAACGCTTAAAGCAAGGTCATGGAGGATCGCTTGCGGCTGGCAGCGGGCGGGAAGACAGCCACTGTGCAGGCAGCACCGGGCAAGATTTCGGGCTTCGACATCGGGATGTTAAGGATCCAGTTTGGTGGATTGCTGTTGCCTTCCGCCTCAGGCTGCTACACCATCTTTGGGCAATCAGAGTCTGGTCTTAGTTACTTGGGTTTGTGAATGTATGTTCAGTCTACGCACTACTGAGTGTCATTATTTTCATCACATTCAAGTGCTAAGCTTATCATACAATCCGTACTAGCCACCAGTTGTTTTCAACGGGTGTCCATGTTTGGACTGTACTTGGAGCAGCACGGAAAGCATTTGTCATGGATGAAAGCGTTTGGAAAGACCCTTAGGCTCAAGTCTCCAGATTCCCCCCGCAATTAGGATCCTGATGCCTACGCAGTGTATGCAGGGGACATGTTTGTGCTTGTATGAGGGAACCTGCACCTGCATGATCTCCAATATTATCGCTGTCCAGAGAATAACTCCGAAGCCGTATGCCAGGAGCAGAATGCTGCTGCCTCAATCATTCAGGCCAGACCCTGTTCGCGACAGATTCAGGGCTTTCGGATGTTTCCCGAGAGGGTCTGTGCTGGTAAACACACATTGAGGAATACCAAGTATGTGCATTAGACACGGCCCCCATTCTGTTACAGCTCTTACAGTCAGTTTAGGGTCAAGTGCGGTTTTGCTCCTGCACTCTGAAGGCCCTTGTTACCCTCGTCAAGTATGCAAATCTAGATCTAGGTACTGGTGAGCCCACCTTGGCCTACACTAAAGACGACTCCAGGGATAAGGGGTTCATGGTATATTTCCAGAAGGTACTGCGAGATTTCAGGGTCATGGCCGGCACGGGAGTCATGGACATAGGAGTTCTGAAGTTTCTCCTCAGATAGATAACACACCCAATTGTTTCCAAGAATCTTGTAGGAACTGAGAATCCGAGCAGTTGCTTAGAACTCGGCCACAGCAAAGGCCCGGAGGGCCTACGGAATTGTTTGGTTCTTCAGTTGTTTCACGACCTGCGGTAACCCTTCTCTAAAGCCAAGTAAATACAGTACTCTGAGAAACGGCATCCTGAAAAAGCCGAGGAACAAGACCTTGCAGGGTCATTCCGCATGAGAAGTGTCCAATCTTTGCCTTACTCCCCGGAGGGAGAAGGCTTGCTTGCACAATCATTTCAGCGTATGTTGTACTTAAGTCATCTGGCATATTTCCGCTACATCTATTTTTATTTGGGCCTACATTAGGTCTTACTACAGGACTATTGACTGTTGTGCCCTTGTTGCGCAAGTTGGGAGGAGGCAGAGCTCCATCCAAGGAGCCGTTAAAGAAGGAACATCGTTTACCTAGTAGTATGTATCTTGCATCTGCCCTTAAGGGCTCCATAAGTGGCCAGAGCCGCCTGGCTTTCGCCTCCCTCACCAACTGAGCGCGTGCAGATCACCTGGCGGAACTGGCACAAGTACCTCCAGGACGCCTGTTGAGATTGCGTGTTTAGCAGATGTCAAGTTAGAGAAAGTAACCAGGCCTTGGGCCAACTAAAGTTTAAGAATATATAGATGTCCATGGGGGCAATGCTTCAGCTCTACGTGTTTGGGCACATAAGGAAATCTGGTTGTCAGGAAGTAGGCTTTAGTTTGGATTGTGGGTGTCTGATTTGCTTGGGTCATGGGTTTAGGGCTCAATCAATGATTTGGGTCAGGTCTTCTGCTGATCTAGGTCGTCAAGTTATACGAATGCTGGGCCAGCGGTATGGAAAGAAGTGACTACTCATCTTCTGGAATGTCCCAAAACCTGGATTCAATGTCCATCAAGACATCATCGGCAATCTGCATCTGCATTTCAAACTTCCTGATACATGCAGACCTGCCTACCTTCAGAGGCCCGACACGTTGCATTTGGTTGAGCTTGTGCAGAGGAGACTGGCAGCCAAAGCCCGTGTACGTCTTTGGGGTTCATAATAAAGCAAGGGCTTGGAGTTGTTTAGGTTGCAGTATATGGCGGGCATCCATTTTGACCATGTCGCAGCTTCTGCCAGTTCAAGGCAGCCGTCCCTGGCAGGAGAACTCTGAGTGGATCACAGTCACCTGGATTTGTGCCACCATGATACAGTACCTGCGCAGCATGTTTCTTATAGAAGCGGGTTCGGAAAGCCTGCTTGCATGAAGATGTCCGTGAATGCCTGGCTTGCATTGCTTCAGGCCCCCTGCAGCGTCGCATCGATCCAACCCTGAGGCCCTAAGTTCTCAACTGCAGTCTACTTCCACAAAATCCTGTTCTAAATTACTTTTCGCAAGACAACAGTTCCTTGTGGCTAGGTATACTTACCCAACACAGAGACACTGAACGCAATAGGGATCGAGGTTTTCATGTTTTCGCTCCCTCGTACATACAAGTCAGTTGAGTATGTCGATTTGCCAACCTCCGCGATTTGGGGCTTTATGTGTTGCTTGTTTAGGGGCATGAAGCAATTGGACGCGAAGGGTAAGCCAGGAAAGCTGCCACACTGGTCTTCAGGGTTTGGGATTGGAGCAAGAAAGAAGTCAGCTTTGCACCACAGAGACATGCTCCTCTTTTTTTCGGGAGTGAAGTGAAGTCTTGGTGCACAAATCTGTCATATAAGTCTTGCTTGGGTCAAAAGAGCTCGCCTAAGGTTTGGGTAGGCCTGGGGCCTAGGGCTTGGAGCATTCATCTGTAAGGCTGCCCGGCCAAGGTCCCACTGGCGGTCCTACCACGTGCGCCGCGTGAAGCTGGACCTTACCAATTTCAATGTTTTGCGTTAAGGGTCCACGTACCCGGTACCCTATATCCAATATTCATATGCTTTCCTAGAACCTGATCTACAAAGCTATTGCGGAAGTCTCGCGTACTCAACTACTGGGTCCTTGCACTGCGGGATATAGACTCAAGCATCTTTTCAGGTTGCAGGTGCCGCCATAAGAAGGTTTTCTTAACACTGCACGGGGCAACGAACATGACCGGGACACAAGACATTGCAAACCAGGGTGCTCATTCAATTTGCGATGGCTGAAGGAATCAAATGCCGGGCCTTCGCAAGCAAGTTGCTTTGACCCCCGAGGCAGCAGCCCTAAAAACGGAATCAGAAGCGATTACCCAGAGGTTCCAGATTCTCATGGATTTTGGCCGCAAAGTCCTGTTTTACACGGATTGGTGGATTTCTCCCGGCTGGTTTGAAGGTTCCTCTCTTTGGCCCTGCATCACCTTTCAAAGCACTCTACCTCCCCAGGCTTTTTGCAAAACCCTGGGTAACCTTAGGACCACTCTCCTGTGATACCATTTCTGCTATGTAGCTGCAGTCTGAAGAAGGCTAAAGTCTTCAGGAACGATAGCTGTTCACGGGGCGTACTTAAACCGAGACCCCAGCGGCAGATTCATGCTTCAGGGTCCAGTGTTGGGTCGTATCTAAGAACTCTGAGTGTGTGGACGCGTCTGAGATGCTGACTGCTGTGCTTTGTTTGGGTGGTTTGGACATGGCTACTTTGCAACGCATTTGCGTCCCGAGAGGACAGAATGGTGACCAACATCCAGAAGATTGTCAGAGGAGTTCTTGTCCGCAGGGCTAGGGGCTCAGAAACGGCCTGCAGGATTCAGAAAAGATGTTTTAAGTGGGGGTGTATGAAGAAAACATAGACTCTGACGAGTCAGGTTGTACAGTTGATGCTTTCAGGTTCGAAAGACAAAACGTGGTGTGCAACAGTGCAAAACCACAGCATGTGATTAACCGGGGGCTTCGGGAAGTGGAGTCCGTTACATGCACCCAAAGATTACAAGGACCCCCACAAAGGAACCCTGCTTTTTGGAAACCCCTTTCAGGATCCTTGGGAGTGCATGTGCTCCAAAATTGGGGGGCAGACACTATACTATTACTCGTCTACTTTTTCAGCTACCCAGAATCAGGATGCTGGTCGTGACCCAGCGTATTTGAGCAGACAGACGCTTCTGCAACTAAACCCTCCTACCCTTGCAGCAGGCCTGCCTATAGCAAACTGACTCACCAGCCAAGAGATTCCCGGTCTAGACCCTCATCTTCTCGCTCAGCTGCGAGACCCATCAGCTCGAACCGAGCTGAGGGGTCAACTGGTGAGACTGCACGCATCAAAAGTCCAAACTTCAGCCAACACCGAATGTGGGAGAAGTGGGAGATCGGAGAGAGTACAATGAAAAGCTCAGCATGCGCATGGGACAAGCAGATCACGAAGCCAAGAGAAGCGATTGGAGACCCACAGTTCTCAAAGAACTTGATGTCATGATCTGGAGCTTTACACCATAAACCTCCTGCTCCCTTAACCTCTAGACTACACCGCAAACAAAATGTCTACGCTGAACACTAAGCTCTTCATCCTAGTCCTACACCCTTGACCTGATGCTCTCGACTCTCGACGCAGCTTGAGCCGTCCATACTCGTCGAAAACCAGCTTCACCGCACCCTGACTCCATCTCGTGGAGCCCCAAAGTCGCAGCCCCTAACTTCCCTGAGCCGGTGTCCCTAAAATACCCTTAAACCGTAAACGCCGCACCCGAATGGATCCGAAAGTAATTCTACATTCGGCTCTAAAGTCTGAACCAAGAAGCTCTAGACGTGTCTCAGGCAATGCGTCAGCACCGTGCTGCGGTGACCATCCAGAAGCGAGTAGTGGGCATCCTCACAAGGCATAACAGGGGCCTTCAGATCCAAGAGATCCCAATGCACCTTAATGGAGGATTGAAAATATAATGTAAAACAGCATAGAAATTAGGCATGCGGGCAAAACTATGGCCACCACAGCATCCGTTCTGTAAAACTGAGGGCTTGTTCATTAATCAGTGGCAGCTGGGCTTGCTGTGGAGTTTAGGGTTTAGGGTTTAGGGTCTTAGTGTCTGGAAAGATCTCAAAGTCATGGGGGTCCTTAGTTTGGGGTCCTTCTCAATGCAGAACTTCGGCTTGTATTCTTTGTGAGGCGGATACCGTGGGAGGTTCTGGCAATATGACGATTTCACACTTACATGTAGAAATGTATATATGTATACATGTACTGTACGTGTATGTTTGTACATACGTACATCCACACATGCATGCATGCAATGCATGCTTCATCGTTATGTTCCTGCTTCTAGTCATGCTTCGGTATGGTCCTTTATACGCGTGCTTTACTTTATGCGTGCGAAGGGTCTGGGGTCTGCAGATGTGGTGCATGAAATGTGCGTCTTGGATTTCTGACTAGAAGCTACACGAGCATTGATAGTGCAACAAATTCCAGTGATGCTGCCTAGGTTAATTTCAGATTGGTGAATCATGACTAGCAGTGGCATTGAGGCTTACAGCCCTAGCACGTGACTCGAGTCTAGAGGCTCACATCCGAAGAGCTAGGTGTCTTGAGGGTAGTAGCAGGGAATTGGCAAGAGAAGCTCTATTGTTTCGAAACCGGAAACCTTAATGGTCAGCAACTCAGCCGTCAATCCTGAACCCTGAAATTATTCCGTAGTTCCGAATCATCCCTAGATTTCCGTGCTGCAGGATGCGCATGAAGAAGCTTAATACAGCAGCGAGGAATATGAGCCTGGGCAGCCTTCATGCTTTTTGTGAGGTCGGCAAGGTCTACTTTAACGTTGAATTGTTCGATTGAAAGGTTGGCCTGTCAAATCGAACTTGGAAGCAAGGAGTAGTTGTGGGAATAGCGTGCTGTTTCTGGTGGATTCTTTCAATGCCCAAACATTAAAGCTACAGTCTCATGCCTGGGCCCCTCATTCCCGATGCTCAGCACTGAAGCTGCAGCCGTGAATTGTGTTGACTAAACTCCGAGGCTTCGTCTCTAGAGCGGGCGATCTTCGCTAGTACCTGCAGTTGCAGGTTGCAAGTTGAGAGCCTAGTGTTGCAATAAACCTGGGCGCAATGACCAAAACTGCAACAGCTCCTAGCCCTTGGTCGACCTCAAAGACACCCAAGAAGGGATCGTCTTCAACCCATATAGACTGTCAGCAACGACAGATACATGCTCATCAGCTTAGCTCCATAACCACCATCCACACTACCAACCATGGGACCAATGGCCTGCCGCTTGTTTACTATTCTTCCAAGTACGGCAAGACTCAACCCTCAAGCCTAAAACGGTAGACCTTAGCAAGTTCAAGCTTAAAAGCTTGGGCCCCAATACCCCGGCCCGGGACGCTCTACTACTTGAAATCTGGTTTTCATTTCAGGTGAGCCTTTGCATGCGGCCGGACGTTATACGGGCCCTCAAAGGGTAACACACCGGATAGACTATCGGTGCAAAGGGCCACCTGGATACCAGGCCATATTTGATCTTTTGGTTTACATCAAAAGCCGCAAGCCCTCAAAGGCAGAGCTTTTTAGACTCTGCCCCTATGAGCTCAGGCAGAGACTAGCACGTGGCTTCCTGGCCCGGCGAAGATATCAACGCTTCTTCACCTTCAAGGCCAGGATGTGGGAGTTCTTGGTGTCCGTGTGGGCGAAAGGAGATTCGGAAATGTTTCATAGGGCTTCTGCATACTTGTGCGCAACCTGCGGTGGGTTTAAGGTGCAGGTTCCCGTCACCTTCAGGCTTCAGCATTTTGAGACGCAAGTTTGACCTTCGATTTCTGCACATCTTACAGAGATCATCTTCTCCCATGCATCCCTTCGGAACGTACAGAAATCGGCACCTGCTTTACGGTACAGTATTGAGGATTCCTTAATAGGGCATAGCTCACAACGTAAAGAGATGGTTCAAACAAGGCGCCTGGCGAAGAGTCATGACCCCACCGGAAAGCACATGTTAATGCAAACCCCTAGTCTGTAATTATGAACCCCCGAAGGCAGTTGTTTTTGCAAACAAATACGCACTGAGAGCCCAAAGCCTTATGCCCTAAGGAGACTAAAGCCCCTGAACAGCATCCCTGCTTCCCCCAACATCTCTAAGTTCTTGATCTCCGAACGAAGCAGCCCCAGGTGAGTAAAGTGATTTGTATCGAACGCTTCGTGCGCGCCCGGCTGGCAAAGAAACGGATCGCAGAGAAGCGCGAGGAGACACTGAAATGGTGTTGTAAGCTTGTTTGTCGAGGTATTCCTTTGTAGGGGGCATGCAGAGGTTTGCTAATCTCCTTGGGCTTTATAAGATTATGAGTTCAGAAGTTCGTGAAAAGTCCATCCGCCTTGCGCGAGGTTATGCAAGCTTCTTGTTAATTTTGAGGTCTGCCAGGTTGTCCTACGGAGCGCTAGCCTTGATTCCCTCATATTCCTACGCAGGTCATGTGATAGGGTGCCATGGCTGCAGTAGAAGTGTGCTCAGCGGATTATGACCCTCAGAAGTACGGCACACAAAGCTGTGACGTGGACCAGGCTTGCTTCATGGGAGCAGACGTTTTGGAAACACTTCCTGTTCCCACTTAAAGTGGGCATGTGCCCAGATCTTGTGTAGCCAGCATTCGTTTATGGATTCCAAACCAGCACTTGCAGGCAGATTCGATGTTGTTTGGTCAAAGTGCAGACCTTCCGGATCTCTTTTTTCAGGGCTTGACTTGGTGCAAGGGCCTTGGAGATTTGAGGGGTTTTGTGGATTAGTTCTGCTCTGGTAAGCCCGCTTGAAGAGGGTTGAAAAGGTCCAGGTCTGCACCTCGAGGTGTTGAATTCAGAAACTCGCTTTCTTCAACAAGAAAGCCCCTTTAAAAGCAGGTGACAGATCTAGAATCTAGTGCAGAGTCTCCCAATGCCGGGAGGCGACTATGGTGATCGCTGTACTTCCTGCGACATCATAGTCAGGCTTATGAGGGGAAGGTATTCATGTAGTCTTCTGATATAGACTGTGGCCACGGCTCAAACTGTTTCTGGCACTTACCCTGAAGTGCCAGAAACTGTGCTGTCCGCCCCAAGAAACATGGACCCTAATTTGGATGCAGTCCTTCCTTCGCTGCGCGTGAAGGACTCCCAGCGAAACTTATTGCAAGTACCGACCACAGACGTGAAAAGACCCCTCCGGAGCACAGGAGGCGGAACAGCAGCGAGTCCTCGACAAGGCGCAAGTCCTGCGAGCTCCTCCAAGAATGGCCCAGATGTAGAGGTGTAAGAAGCGTAAGGTTTGGCTTGAGCGGGCTGGGGTTCCTGCAAGTCAGGTTTCCATTCTTGGATGCAGATACCCATTCGCTTTTTCCAGCTGCGCTACGAATTCCTGGCCAAGACGGTCCAGCGGAGGGCTTGCCCGTCGCAACTTCCGCACACTACAATCCCAGCTACAGTGAAGCCAAAGCCGTAGATGTCAAGTTCTCAACCGAAGATGGCCTCTGCCAGAAAATTTCCGAAACCCTTGACTTTCAAGTAGTCTCTGACTCTCCGCATGCCGCACATCCTAGACCCTAGACAGAAAAGCCTCCTGCCGGCCGCGTCAGGCCTCGATTGACTTGCAGCGCCTCTACCGAGGGTGGAAGGCGCCCATCTGTTCGGATGGCTTGCATTTTTGTGTTGTTGGCCAGGCTAAAAAAACTATCGCATCGAACAGTTGCGGCTTCGTTCATGGACACGAGACCTCAACGCCTAAAGCTTGATAGCAATAAGCATCAAGCAGCACTTCGCCACAGCCCCTGAACACACCCAGACGGCAATGTTTAAAAGTGTAGAAAACTTTCTTTCGAGCACGGCAGGGCAGAGCTGTTGCGTTTGCCCGCTACTCGGATGCCCTCCAGGCCAAGTTGGAATACGACTCCTGGAAAGAAGTCTGAGAGGTATAGATGCAGGGTTGATTGACGGCATGAAAGGTAGAACGGTAGAACCTTTTTGCGCAGTACCCATTTCCGTTTTGTTTTGGGCATGGAGTAGTTTGCTTCGCTTCAGAGTTGACATGGACAATGAGAACAGTTTGACACGTCTGTAGAAAGTCTGGAATTGGGAGCTTTGATGGCTAGACCTGAACCATCTATTCCGCGGAACCCCATCGACGAGTCCTTCGCGTGACACCTCGCCAGGACAAAGAATCCCGACCCTCGTAAACTCTCTTGACACTACACCTTTATCAGCTAGAGTCTTAGAGTGGCCCCTCCACCGCACAGCCTCAATCCCAAACACCTGAACAACAAAGATCCTGAAGCCAAGGACTCCGCCACCAAGATCCAGTCCTTGTTCCGGGCACGGAAGGCCCGCAAGCGAGCGCCTTGACCCTATCATCTTGGCTTGCCTGCATGGTGAATGCCGCAGAGCGTTGATCTGGTGTCAGGTCTTTTGTCTGGTTTGGGGTTCTATACTGCAGTCTTTATCTCAGCCTCAGCATCCAAAAGGAAGACCCTAAACCCATTAGCCCTAGTCCCCGAAAAGCTACTGCTTGCTACACCTCTAGTAAGTGTTTGGCTTCTCGGCTTAAACGAATGCTGCACAGCCCCACGACATCTGCGTCCATATTTGAATCCTGCAGCAATCCAAGCTGAACTCGTCGAGACTGGTTCAGCAGAATCTAGATGTTTGAAGAGTTTGGGCCTCCAACACGAAACCACAACACAAGATCCTACCTAAAGGGCCTTAAACCCTCTGCTTTCTAGGTTGCCATGTCCTGAAAAGAAGCAAGGCACTGTAGACCATGAAGAAACATGTCCTTGTAGATCTTGAGCGGAGAAGCGTTGCTCAGGTAGACGTCATGCGCGACCAGCGCTTGAAAGAGATGGAGGCGGCGGCCACATACCTTCGGATGCTGGGCAAGTTGCTCTTAAGGTCTCAGGGTTTTGCCGGCAGGGTCGGGTTTGGCGTGTTTGGTTCCAGCAGTCCTGGTTCCAAGTTCAAGTGGCATCCCGCGTCTAGGACTTAGAATGAGTAATTCTCTTGACTACCAGGGCTTCAAGGGTTTGAGGTTACGTTTGTGGTCAAGGCAGGAAAATGGCCCTTCATGCAGCTTGTGCATCTTTACCTCACAGAGAGCTCGGCTCAGGTCCATGTCCCAAGAGCCCGAGTCCCCATACCTCCAACCCACATAGCGGTCTTAAAAGCAAGTACTGAAGTTGTGTGAATTCCCTCCTACCTTTCTGACCTGAAGGCCAATGATTGTCTCGGATATGAGCCATGTTAACATTCTCATTGGTTTTCAGCTTGTCTACAGGCTTCATGCAGGAAGTAGAGAGAAGCTATGGGAAGTCGAAGCTTTGAAAACCGAAAGCTTGCCTATTATGACGGCCGAAGCAGTGTAAAACGATACTGCATGTGCTATACTGGCACGAATGAACAGCTATTGTCGACAACAGCTCATACATGTATGTTTACCGTAATTCATCAGAAGCCAGAGAGATATGAACAAGAGATGCCTCAAACTCCTTTAGCCTTTTTCCTTTGAACCCATCAGTTAGAACTAATAAATGCCAACCATCCTCTCGTTACGGAGATCTCATTGCAAGCCTTACAACTCAGAGGTTGATGAATCCCCAAGAGGCCTTATTCAGTTACGACACTTGGAGCAGTCATGTGCAAACCAACGTAGTCATTGCTGAGTCTCTCTGGCTATGATGCCTGAGCATCTCTAAGTTTCCACTTTGGAATCCTCATCCTGAGGCCCTGAGGCCTGAAGCCACAAAACCTTGCAGCCTGTGCCATTTTTGTTTTAGAGTTTAAAAAGAGTCTATTCTCCACACCCGAAACACTCTATCCCGCATCTGGCTGATAGGTTTAGTTGCCTGCTACCCCAAGGAAGATGTGGCTTGGTGTTCAGACACGGAACCAGTACCTAAAGCTGAAGAAGGACCTTGGCTTAGGGGTTCAGCTGGTCGGGGTGCGAAGGCTGTGTCGGAGGCTGAGTACAACACGTACCCTTCTTAGTTTTTAAATGGGGTATATCGGCACGGTAGTGGTTTCCACTTGAACCAATGTGATTTTGTGAGTCATGTGAGCTCTACCCTGAAGTGCAGTGAGGACCCCTGACGCATGTGTAGGTACTCATAACAAGCAAGTTTCCGTGCAGGAGTCTCACCCCAAAGCGTGCAGGCTTTGGAACCTAGATTTCATACAGAACATAGGCTCTAAACTCCAGACTCCTTGATCGCCGTCACTGTCCTAAAGCCTACACTCCAACTCAACTCCCAAATCCTAAGCCCGAGTCACCCGAGGCTCCAATCCCAAGCATTGAAAGGATTTCGAGAGGGCCGAGAAGACCATCATCACTATCCAGCGTTACACCCGAGGTGCGCCGCCAAAGTTGTCTTCTGGGTTGCGGCTTACGGTTCCAGAGTTGTGGAGGGGTCTCTGAATTGGCTTCTACACGATTATCTCGTCTTGACAGATCGCGTGCTGCTGAATCTCAAGGACTCAAGCTTGTAGACTCTCCACTCTTCCCATAAGGAACCTGAACCCAAAGATCTTGCAACCCTCTGAGTTCTCAAGCGGTTCAGGCTGCCTCTGCAGAGGCAGGCTCTGGCGTGAAGCGGTGGAGCAGGCTCAGGGACTGAGAGCTAGCGACTACAGGGATGTAGGGGCCCAAGCGAGGAGTGGTTGAATCGGGGAATGCTTTCTCATCATAGGCCCTTAGAACCAATGGATGACAACATGGGGTGAGGGCCTGTTCAACAGTGAGGGTATCGATGCGAAAGTGGGAAACGGGATATTCCCCAGAAGTGAACTTCCAAACGATGACCTGGCTTGCAGGAAGAGCGGGTCTGGGCCGCCATCGCCACTCTCCTGAGAATATCTACATGTATAAGCGTGGGCAACATGTTTTCGCACGGAGACATTGTTGTTCACGTGTGACTCTTGGTTCTCAGGTTAGTGATCGTGTTCATCATGTTGTTTAAGAAGTTGGATGGGTAGTTGGGTCTCAAGAGCACGCGGCGTTGATTGTCTGGAAGTGTATGACAGGGGAGCTCATGAGTCCTTGGGGACAAAAGTGTGGCACCCCCCCCCTCCATGGTAAGAGGATAGGTGTTTGATGGAAACATGTAGGCATTGAGCACTCACCCTTCAAAGTGGCTCGACTAAACTCTAATGGCACCAAGCAGTGGTCGCTGGTCAAAGCATTTTCCGTAAGATTGAAACTCCAGGAAATCTCTCGACTCCACACCTTGATTTCTCAACAGACCCACGGTGGCCGGCATGGATCCTAAGACCAAGGAAATCCAACGGCGCTGGCGCGGCTATCGCGGCCGCGTACGCTGGGAGCAGTTGGGCTCAATCAGGGGGGGCTTCAAAGTTTCAGAGACTACCACCAGTGAGTCCATGGTGTGGGATCTTGGTTTGGGGGGGTTCAAGGTTTCGGGTTGGGGTAAGCATAGATGGCGTTATTAAGCCCTGCATGTAAAAGGGCCGGGATACTTGCAAAGCATGCTTAGGTTCAAAGTTTTCAGAAGTTGCCGAGGAACAGCCTCGAGCAGCTGTGGCGACGTGAGATGGCAGCAGCCATGCTCCAACGCCACTGGACTTCTTAGGGTTTGGGATTTTGGTTGGTTCCACTTTCTGTGGCATGGGGTTCAGGGTTTGCGGCGTTTGGGGGGTTGCCGGGTGTAGTTATATACTATATATCTGGAGAGAGTCTTTATGTGTTCGTATAATCTTCAGCTGAAGAGTGAGAAAGGGCAACGTCCGGTGACAAACTGTCAGATCCCCCGCATGAGGCTTCAGGAACTGCGGAACAAGTCACGAGGCTTCCGAAACTAGCACCTAAACTTCTAAGCAGTAAACTAAAGCGACAAGAAAAACACAGCCAACATCTTATTAAGCTTACCCCTTTCGATTCAATTCAAGTCAATACAAGCCTCTATACGCCCAAAACCCCGCATTTAGGCAACCTCCGGGGCTGGGTCGCGCGAGCCAAGATCGCGAAGCGCAAGCGAAAGGCTCAAGCGGGGTTGAAAATAAGATGTTGGAAGGAAAGGGGAAGGTGGGTCTGGGCAGCAGTGGTTCAGGATTACGGTCGAGGCTTGGCCCTTATTTAGCCTAACCAGTCGGACATCATCCGTGAGATTAAGATCTCACATGCTAGAAGTTGCATGGCTTCGGGAGGTTATCAAGTCAAACATCTAGACCCTTGGATCCTCGCTTCCCTCAGTTCCGAGACTTGCTGCATTCAAAGCCAGCCAGGTTTCAAACCCAAACTCAGTGCATAAGTCACAAGCCTCCCAAATCCTGAAGCCTTCTTCCCCCAGACTTCAGACTGGCCTCCTTATCTCTACAGTTGGAAGTGGGCGCCTTGATTTTCTCAGCGGGTGCCACATGGCCTTGATCGGACTGATACACCCCGCAGAGACACACGTAAAGATGGGCTGAATTCAGGGGATCAGCTTCGCAACCTTACAAAGGTATAGATATGAAACGCGCAATCAGTAAGCCCTCATCCAACCCTGACATGTCATTGCTATGCTGCAAAAGGCCGCGCGGGAGGAGTTTGAGAAGGCCGCCTGAGAGTGATCCTCGCGTGTGGCCAATGATGCCTTCCCCCTCGCTCCCCCCACCATACAAACCATCCCGTCATTTACTGTTAGAAGGTTGTAGGTCATGAAGTTTTAAAGTCGCACGGCGCTTGGCATCCTGAGTATTGGCGTAGTGCGGGCTGTCTGCTTCCTGAACCCTTGGGCTGGCTCACCTGCATATTTCCGGTCAGTGGCTTTGGTGTTTGCCGGCAGGGTTCCTCTTGTGAATGAATACTTTAAGGATTCACCGGCCACTCTGGCAGAATTTCTAGAACCGCAGACCCCGCGGACCCCAACCAAGCATCAAGACTTGCAATCCCTGCGCGCAACGCTGCGCCAGAACCGTTTTTTGGATTTGTTTTGGCTTTGAGCGATTGTTGCTGTTTTGACACCTGGTGTTTGTGGGACTTTGGGTTGAGTTAGGGACGGGGCCCCCACCCCGGTCCGGTCCAGATGCTCAGGTAATCCTGTTGCCGGAGTGTATGAGAAGTCGGCATCGGAATCGTCAAAGTCTTGGTAGGCATCGGCATCCTTCATCTTCTCGTGAGTAAGCTATAGAGCCAGATCAGCAAAATTGGAGCATCTTTCCATGTAGGGAGGGATCTAATTACAGCTTCCAAGCATTCACAGATTCGCGCTCCCACCCACTCAAGGCCCGCCGCCGCTTTTTCGCGGCGCAGCGGGTGCAGGCAACCTTGGCTGTGGCATGGTCGAAGGGCTCGTGTATCTGGAGTTGAGTGCTTAAAGATGAGGGTCCAGGGTAGCATGGCCACCAACACATCCTCTTCCATGCTTCCAGAGCAGAGGTCACGCTCTTGTGACGGTTGCGCGCCCTTGCTGCTTCAGTTCGAGGGTTTCAGCTTCGTTCCGGTTTTGGCTAGCCATGCAAGGATTACCTAGACTGCAGATAATAGGGGAATGTTTGTGGTCTGTTTGGGGTCCAGACGTTGAGCCGTGGTTGAGGTCGAGGATTGGCGGCCGGCGTCTTATTTGGGAAATTCCAAACATAGAGGCCCCCATCTGTACCCACAACTGTTCATTCTAATCTTTCTTATGCATGGGGACTCCCATGTTTTGGAAGCCCGCATTTTGAATAGATTAACTTCGGACGGAGATGGCTTCTCGAGCTGATGTGCAGTGCGGGCTGATACTAAACTTAGACGCATGAAAATGACTTGCCATTGCGAGATCGATGTACTTGGGCGCGCCCCCAAGCTATTGCAATTATTTCAGTATAGGCACCTGCAAAATTGTTGGAAACCGTAACTGTGAAAGCACACGTAAACCCTGCGAACATGAGAAAAACCAGCTATGGACCGCAAGCGCGAATTACTCGTGTGTGGCAGGCCCGAATACGAGGCATCCTCACTCGTCGCTTGGCAAGCTTTAGAGTTAATGGCTTCTGGTTTTTGAAAATGCTGGGATTGCTTGGGTTATTTGCTAAACTTGTCATTTGTGGCCCCCCTCATCTTAAAAGATAGACGAGATAGTTTGTTTGTGAATGTCTAGTCTAGACTCCGAACCTTACAACGTGAACGCTCACACAGGGAAGCCCCACATCTCACACAGGTAAAATTGTACATGCCCGCCTTGCCCGGGCGAACTTCGCCGCTGCAAAGATCCAAAGTGTTCATCGAGGCCGGGTCTAGCGCACGCATCAAAGCTAGAAGGCTGGCTTGCGTTTTCTGGGCTTTGTGCAGGATTTGTTTCAAGGCTAGACCGGAAACATGTGGGCTGTGACTGTCAAGGGATGCTTGGGATGATCGAGGATTGAGGCTTCCAAACATGTGGGCTCCGATCTGGGGTGCATAGCGGTCTCCATAAGAATCGAATGTTTAATAGACAACCAAATCATTGGTTGTTGCGTGAGTTCGCGACTCACCGCACCCGACCTTCCGAGAGAATGAGAACTGCTAGACTTTCCTAGCACAGAGCTTTTTTCTGGGCTCAGTGGTCGTGGCGTAAAGTCTTCTCCCAAGTTTATTCATGGCACGCTCGGAACTCTGTTTACAGCCAACGCAGCAAAACTTGGGCTGTTTCCAAGGAATCACAATTAAGACAATTTCGTGACTAGGGAGACTAAAGTGATTATGTGGGAACCTTGAGGAGAGTTCTAGTTTCCTGCAGATCCCAGTTGCAAAGGTGGCGTGGTGCGCGCGAGGCTTTGGGACCAGGCGCCATTTCAAAGCCTATGGTGGCCTCAATAATTTCAAGGTCTTGGGACTGGAGACGAAGGTCAATATGGTTCAGGTTTTCAGTCTTTCCTGCTTCATGGTTGTCAGATAGCTGCCAGTTTGCACTTGCTTTCGTCTCATGGTTGTCTCTATTGGGATCCTTGTGGAACCGCAAATTCGGTGACATCACCGTATGAGCCCTTTAGCCCCTAAGAATGAGCGAGAAGAGAACGACATGTCTGACAGCTGTCTTATGGACCCGCGATCTTCTTCAATGTCACTTTGAGAGGTGCTCAACTACAAAAGTCCAACGGGGTCCACATGCCAAAAAAAGGCCACTATCAAAACCTTGCATTTGACACGTGCACCCTCTCTGCCAGGTCTTCTGCTAGGAGGTTTCCTGTGCAGCGGTCGCCGCTGAAATTCAGAGAATTAGCCTTGAACCCAAACCATGCGGACTGCCATGTTGCGTCTGAAGATGGAGGCGTTCTCCGTCCGGACTTCAGGAGCCAGTGGGAGGAAGCCTGATACGTATCACGTCAAACATCACCCAAATCCAAGAGTCCACTTGCAACGTTGAAGAAGGCAGCATAACAACCATTCTCCCAGTCAGTCCCAACACATCCCAGACCTTCATCCACAAGCCTCTGCCTCGAGATGCTTAGTCCCTGCAAGGTGAAGCGCCTAAAACCAGATATGACCTGGATGCGATCCGTAAGAAGTCTGTATAATCCCGAGGCCGCACGCCGTAATCATTACTTTACAAAGTAGCAAAGACCTTTGCCATTAGGGTTGCATCATGGGAACAACGCAGAATTACAGTAGTGCTCGGCCTCTGCAGGTCCGCGCGCAGCGGGCCGTGCTTGTCCAGGCCATCCGAGCCTTCCTGACCTTTTTAACAGCTTACAGGTTGAGGGCAACGTGTTATTAGAGTCGAAGGTGTAGGAATTTTTGAGAAGATTCCAGGGGCCGGGTGGTCATGCCCTAGAGGCCTTCAGGATCTGGCCTAAAGGGGTTAATAACTGGGCGTCCGCATGCATGGCCGGCATTAGATTGCGACACCGGGCTGACAGTTTCAAGTGAGCTTCTTCACATTCCAGGGAGCGACTGAGGTTGCGTGATCCACACTTTTGTTGGGGTTCAGGGACGCCGACAAGGTTTAGTAAGGTTTAACAACTGCATCCCTGACCCCTACCCTTCCCGGTCAACCTGCAGGGGGGTTTGTGTGGTAATAAGGAACCTTCGGAAGTTGGGCAGTGCATTTTCTAAGCCTCCAAAGATGTCCCAAGTCATCATGTACCATACGCAATGGTTCGGTCATAGTCGGTGAATGCGGGGGCCTGTCTCAAAGCCTTGAAGCTGGTAAACACTGCAACATCCTTACCACCTAATCCTTATGGACTCCAAGGCCTCATGCCTGCAAAGCCCAAGCCCAGTTAAACCCCAGCAACCCACAAAAAGCTCAGCTCAACCAAAGACCCAGCAGCCTGGAGACCAAGCCTCAAAAGCCAATGCGACCCGGAAGGCCACAGCGCGGGGCTTCCTTGTGCGGCGGCGTCTCCGGAAGCTGCGGGAGCGCTCGCCGCATCCTATCGTTGGGTTTGCCATGTAGGGTTGTAGGGCGTCGGCTACCTTCGAAGTAGTTTCGTGTCTTTTTTGGAGGCCGCTCTTCTTTGCGGATTTTAAGGGGTTGTAGCAGCACCGTGTCAATTGGTAATTTTGCGTAGATCTTTACCGGGCCGTAGTGAGGTCGTTTGGCTTTAGCAAACTGTTTTGTCGCCAGTCCTAATGTCATATCACGGCCACCAGCATCGTTAACCCCTGTACACATGCCCAGAGACTCGACCCCACAAGCCCGACAAATCCTGCTTTCATAGCTGTCCTGTTGGGACTGGCAACTTTTTCCTGAAAATTTGTAGATAAAGACCCATGCTAGCATTGCTCACGATCGGCCATACCAACCAAGACCACGATACTGGGAATGCTGTGCTAGATCCCAAATGTCAAGCCCAGTGGTACCACGACCGAAGGCGGTCACAAGCTTGATACGACACCACCCTATCAAAAGACCCAAATCATGCGCAGGCAATCTGTAGATATTTCTGGGGGCTCTGCGGCACGTTTTGTTGAGAAACTCTAGATATGAACATCAATGTTTGTATCAACGCTGACTGCGAGGAGAAGGTGGTCTTCATCCAGAAGGTGGGGTCCGGGTCACATAACATTACCGCAGATGGGGGAACCCTGTGTCCACCACGCATATCTAAATTCTTGAGACCCCACAAAATTCGGGTGGTATTACTGCATTTGATTTCTTCCATCCACAATAACCAGACACTTTGAGGTCCAGGTCATACCAGGACATATCTACCTCGTGGCTGCAAATTTCACAACTAGGCCGCCTAGGCCATCTAGGTCGGTTTCGAGGCCTGGGACTTGCCCAAGAATATCACGCTGACAGCCCAGAACCACAAGCATGGGTCGCAGTGCCAGGTTGACGCGTCCTCTTGAGCCCCAGAAGAACTCGCCGTCATACTGCCATGATACCAGCCCACACCACAGACCAGCTAATCTTCCTGAAAATCGCCCTTGCCCAATCCGCATCCACCCAAACTCTGCAGCTGTGGTTGTCAGGTCTACCGTAGGTGGCTAGGTCTGTCGAAGATGCGACGGCGACTGCGTCTGCAATAGACCAGTGCAGGTGTTGAGGGTGGCGTTGCAGTATCTACGTGCCAGCAACAAAGCTGGTAGGAGACATACATATTTTCCCTAAATCCCAGGAATGTTGCGTATTTCTACTGACCCAAGT